GGGGCGTCTGTTGATAGACATACTTACGTAGGATATTGATATTCCTATGAGTAATATGTATGTTCGAAGTAACTGCCATAATGTACGCATATTCTCAGGCCATGTCTGTGGACTCCGACACCATATCATAACATATCAGTGTCGATTTCTCTCTCATGCCATATATATCTCATAAGTAATCCTTCTACATTAGTTTTAATCAAATTTGTGTAGTAATTTTCATTTTATATGTAAATAAAACATACATTCCAGGGTCACGGTATTGATATTTCATGCGTTTTATAACTTTCAAATGCGCAACATTAAAGTCGAAAACTTAAGTTGTTAGCAGTTATACGGAGGTAGAGTTCCCAATTAACCAATAACCAACTAACCAACTAACCAACCAACCAACTAACCAACCAAATAAATACTTACTACATAATGGTGATTTTGATTTTTTAGTGTATACAAAATACTCAATTACGCTTGAATTAAAACGTGTAACATATCCACAATGACCACAATTCTGCGAGCAAAACTATGTTGGACAAAATCACTACACTATTATAACAAAAACAACAACTGATTATGAAACACGGCAATGGTTTCGATGCAGAAATTGCTCTCATTTGATTTCATAATAAATACATATCTCACACGTCAATATTTTCGCTAGCCAAGGTCTAAGTTTATTCGGCCAAATATCTAAGCAGACCTAGGCAGAACGACCATCAAATATGCGTATTCTAACAGCACCCCCAGTAGTCAGTTGCGGCTAATCATTGTCCAATCATTTTGCGTGTTACAAATCCCACTTTGGCGGTTTATTTTAAACAAAATGGCGGCGCCCATGAATCGTGATATTTGTGATAATAAAATTGCTAAAGTTTTCGGTGTTGTTGCCTTCAAGCCTCACCAGGTACAGGCAATCGATGCAGTTTTGTGTGGAAAGGATGTACTCATAGCAACAAAAACGGGAAGTGGAATTTTGTTTCATAATTTGGTACGTCAAACCTGACTGGGCGCCTTGTTTCGAGACGCGCCCAATCAGATCTCGCTGCTTGAGATACGCAATTAGCCTATGTGATCCCGCACGGTATCGTGTAGAGGCCTATAGGTCGAAGACACGGGACCGTGCAATTCGGACGATGACACGTTAATGGCCACTTTAAATTCAATGGATAATAAATGCCTTAAACACAACCAACCACTAGAGGGAGATGTTTGTTTTCACCACAATACGGACTTTATTTCTATTATACGTCAACTACACTAACACCAATATCTATCAATTAAACATTGAAAGTCGTTGGTAAGCGTTCCATTCTTCAAGTAGGCCATCGACAATAATATTTTGTACGTACACCAAGTTTGAACACTCAAAACCAAAATAGGGATACATTGACTACTTTTTGATCGTAGGACGCGTGTAGCCAATGGAAGCCAGTATAATAAAACACGTTTGATATAATGGCAAACACTAGTATCAAAAATAAGGTGATGATATATTCCATTTTTTGTCTTTGATTTTTATATAAGAAATAATGTCGAAAAATAATTGAATATATAACCAGTTTCGGGTGAGTATTGTTTTTTTCCATTTGTAGAGTTAATTTCACTTGTTTGAAATGGGTTAAATTCGGGATGCCTTAAATTGTGTCAATATCAGGAACATTTTGGTTATCACGATTGGCATAAAACTGGTAGAGGCGGAATGATGGAAGTATAATTTAAAATATATAAATAGTGTTAAATGAATTTCTGGGCAATGACCCGCACACTGTACTTACTAGTTAACGTGCACGTGTTTAGTTGAATGGATGTCCGATTGTATAGTATCGTGGTACTCTTATTGCATCATTCCCCGATTTATGTCTCTGATAAGGATGTTGATCCTATTCCCGTTCTTTGTTTTTTATCTGTGAACTTGAGTGATGAGTAGAGTGTATTTGATACGTAAATGAAGACCGCCCTTGCATAATTCTTCTCAGTTTTATCCATATTCCTGGCAATTCACTCTTAACGAATCTTGAGTGATTAAGCTATGGGTCAGCTTTTATTGAAAAACATTTTATTGGCTCAGAAATGTTCACAGCCTTGTCCGTAACGTAGTAGGTGGAAAGTGCAGTAATTTATAACAAAAGCAATAGTTATTCCTGAGAATCATCAAGCATAATCTAACCCGCCGATGTGATACCAACGCCAGGATTAATTCAATCAATCAGTGTAATTAAAGTTATAGATACAGCGATTTATTGATCAATCAACGCCATTCAATTACACTACTTATCGGTTTTGGTAATTTAATTTGGAAGTATATATTAAGAATGACTACCAAAGTAGCATAGACTTGTATCGACCACTTTTCCGTTTTTTAGTAAAAAACAAACAAACAAATATACAATATATGAACACCAACCACACTTGGTATTAAGATTTATTCTAAGTTACTAAACTGATTATCCATGATCGATTATTCACCCTTACGACACCAAATACTCGCTGACATATTCACTTGCAATGCAATTCCGTTCCTAGCACGTTCCTACGGTGGCTTGTTAGGGCCATTGACGATTTTTCTAATTTTTGACATTTTCACTTGTATTTTCCGGCTTTTTCTCGAATTTCCAAAATTTTCTCCAGAATTGTTCTGCTATTATTTTGAATGTTCGACATTTTCACCGCGGTGAGAATATTTAAACCGCGGTGAAAATATTTCATTTCGTCGCCATTGTTTCGTAATTATCAAACGTGGGAGATGCGTTCAGTTGAAGAGGTAAGTTTACTGCCTTTTGGGGGGATTGTCTTCCGCAAGCTATTGTCATGAAAAAAAAACAAAGTCATATATTTTTAATGTGGGAGACACGACACGATCTGTACAACATACAATATAGGGGACGTTTCCAACCAATTGACTGTCTGTCATTTTGTCAATCATTGTTACATTTAGAAAACAGAGACAAAGCACCATAAGTTATATATACACATAAATTTGTTTTGAGTTGCAACCGAATTAACAAGCTCATTTGCATATTTATTTATTTTTTATTTTTAGCTTCGCTGTCTACTTTGTCGAGCGGAGCTTATCATGTGAGTGAATGTCCGTCGGCATCCGGCGTCCATCGTCCGTGTCAACTTTTCACTTTTTCGACTTCTTCTTGAAAACTACAAGTCTGAATGCTTTGATACTTGGTGTATATGTACCTTGGTTAGACCTCTTTTAGATTTGTTCATTTCATAATGATATCTAATTTTGATGAATATTTTTTGTCATTTTTGGTAGAAAGTGATATTTTCGAATTCGTGTTGAAAACAGCCCAATTGCTTTTATACTATACATATTGCTCGTTTTCCAATGATATCTTCAGTCCTTTAATTGAAATATAAACTGCTAACAGCAGAGCTATCTCAGTCGATAGGCTGCTTGTTGGTTAATAAACTTGTGAACCCATTGGTCCAAATGCAACTAAACATGGTGTAGACATTAGCAACAACCATGTGTCAACTTTGTTGACCAGCACATGTGACAAAACATGATATTCACATATTATGCAAAAATTCATGAGCTCATTTGTATACTTGTTTGATTTAGAATTTGTGTTAATATATACCAGGTGTTCATTTGTGGGAACTGTACATGGACTGTGCATATTTAATTGATTTTCTGAGGACTTGGTCCATTTTGAAATTCTGAGCTGTGAGTTTCACAATGCTTTCACAATAGTTTCGTTTTAATTCAAAGTAATGTCTCAAATAATGTTCTTTTTTAGTGCTTCCAGTCATTTGGTGCCAGATTCTGACGTTCCACCCCATGTCACAAACCGCCGTCAAAGACTGCTTCAAATGTTGCGAAATAGTCAAAGCGAAAGTTCACCATCCCTCCAAAGAAATAAACAACATCGAAGAGCTGGAAGACCCAAGAAACTATCAAGAATGATTACTGTGGGGATGTGGATTCTCACCTCAAACAAAATTGACAAGGATGGATGTAGGACTGCACAGGCAGTTAAGGCTCCACTTGGTGACAAGAATTTTATTGCATTAGAATTTCCACTGGATTCATCATATGAACAGCTGAAGTCAAAGATAGAAAATGCAATATTTGTCAATGGTAGTAATGCTATTGTCGGCAATCTCACAGATTTCCAATGCGAAGTTGTTAATGGACGTAATGAAAACGTGCGATCTGATCTGTCAGCTATGACATTTACTTTGGGTACTTACATCGACGAGAAGAAGATCCATGGGGCCATACGCCTATACTTGCTTTGCGTACCTTGGATATGGTCTTGTATTCAGTTGATGTTGATCGTGAAGGTAATCTAAATGGTTAAATTGTAGCAGTCAATACGACTGAATACAATTAATATATGACAGGATGTGCTCATGCTTTTCAAATACCTGACATAACTTCATGGCTGTATGCCTTGGGGTCATTCTTTCACTGACTTGTCCGTGTTTGTGATGTATTGTTTGTGTCTCTTGTGCAGCGTTTTTTGTCCATGGACTTGTACTTTGCCATATGTGACACACGATTTCGATATTGGATTGGTATGATTGTTATTTCTGTTATAAAAGAATTAGTATAGTCCAACTTATCAATTAAATGTAACTTTCTTTTGAAGCAAAAAAATAATTTATTGATTTTATAATAAATGGCCGATATGTTTATTCTGCTTAAAAAAACATTATGCTCATACTGATTTCATTTCAAGACTGTATGTATGACATAGTCAAAGTCTCAATACACATATGCAATCGTTGGTGATGTATGGTTGACTTCTATCTAACTCCTTGGATGAGCGGTTTTTGTGATATAGCATCTGTTACACTCAAATTGGGGAATTATATGACCAATGTGGTATGCCTAACATAATAACATCTTCCATTGAATATCAAGATGGCGGAAGGGTAACATCGTGCACTTCGAGCTCCCGACTAACTGCTACGTAATGTGACAACCACAGCCTGTATCTTCTGAACAATCAACTAAATAGTAAAGTGAATTCGTGTGAACGATGCCGAAGAAAAGTAGCCGCAAGCAAGAGAAGAAAGGAGAGCAAAATGAGGAAAAAACGCCTTCACCGTCCAGCCATGCTCGTTGTGGTTTTTCAACACCTGGAACACCTGACGATGATGAAACTGAAGAGAAAGAATTCCGCCGTTTTATGAATGATACTTTGACTAGAATAGAGAAAAAACAAGACAAAATAAGTGGAAACCTAACTCAGTTAACAAAGCGAGTACAAGAATTAGAGGATGGTAAACATGATTTTCAGACCTCATTGGAGTATTCGGAAACTATATTACGCGAGCTACAAGATGAGAACTCAGTGTTCAAGAATATAATTGAGGCGTTGGAATCAAGGTATGAAACTATGAAACAACAATTACATGTCATCAGTGAAGACCAGTTAATGGGGGAAAGATACTCCCGAAGTTATAATATCAAAATAGTCGGAATCGAAGAGAAAGAGAAAGAAAATGCACATGAGGTGGCTGTCAAGTTTTTAGGAGACAAGTTTGTTATTGCGGTGGATGAAGTTGAAAATGCACATCGTACGGGCAAAATTCGGTCGCAAAAACCCAGGCACATTATAGTGAAGCTTCACAAAAGACCGACAAAGATAAACATTATGAAAACGCAGAAACAGATACTTCAAGACTCTGCAACTTATATTATTACTGATTTGCCACGAGCTGATGTGTTAGAAAAGAAAAGGCTAAATCACGTTATGAGACAAGCGTGGGAAAGTGGTAAAACTGTGGTGTTTAGAAACGGAAAACTGTACATTAAGAAACAGTTATTCAAAGGATGATCATTGTGAAAAGGTTACAAAATATTATGGAATGTTAGCATGAGAAATTTGTTTTCTTTGAAAAAAAAACGGTGAAAGTGAGATTCAGTGGAAATAATTCTTTCCTAGCAAGTGCTTTTAGTTTTTCATTTATTTGTTTTGCCCTGCAGACATGGAAATTTGAAAGAAAATTGGCTGTCACGAAAGAAATTAATGTCCTTCGTAATGTTAATCTGAGTACAAAAACTGTCAATAGCTAAACCAACAGATGTGGCAATCTTGGTATGACACGGTGAATTCGTAATTACAGTGCCAGGTCGGTCACTGATTGGTAATACAAAATTAGACAAAACCACGACATTTGATAACCGGTATTCGTACAGGTGAGATTGGAAATGTTTGATGCTACTAAATGGTTATTTAGATGCTAAGATAGATTTAGATGTGATTGGCTACCATAATGAATCATGTCTGCCAGGTTTTCACACATTTACTGGTTAGCAAAGTTAGATTGATACACCTTAGGGTTACGTGGACCGCGAACACGTTAGTGATTTTGAGTCAGGTGGTTCTTTGTCTCGTCTCTGATGAGCTGGCAAAAAAATATGCAAGTGCATAAGTTATGTTATCTGTTTATTTCTAAATGTTTTTTTCAGTTTTTTTTTTCTGTTGCTTTGTTAACATGTATTTTTTTCTCCCTTTTTGTGTTTTGTTTTTTGAGTCCTGTAGTGATCCAATAACATAATTATGGCTAACTTACAGCTGGTGTCACTGAACGTCAGAGGCTTAGGAGAGTACAAAAAAGGACAGACGTATTTGCATGGCTCCGAGTACAGCAAGCATCTATTTACTGTCTTCAAGATACCCATTCAACTACTGAAGTGGAAGATCTCTGGCGGACAGAATGGGGTAATAAATGTTTTTTTAGCTCCGGTCGCAGTAATAGCAGAGGAGTCACTATTTTATTTAGCGGTAATTTCGAATTCGAAAGCCATGCTTATAAAGCTTATGATATGGGGAATTATGATAGATTTGTCAGTTGATTTTCGTTTTACACTCGTTTCAATTTATGGCCCAAATGAGGACAACCCCCAGTTTTATAAAGAGTAACAAAATGAAATAAATGTTATCGGGAATCAGAGTATAATTGCAGTAGGCGACTGGAATTTAGTTCAAAATACCGAACTTGACACACAATTTTATAAACATAAAAATAATCCAAAGGCAGCTAAAGAAGTGGTAAATATTATCCAGAATTACCAATTAGTGGATATTTGGCGGGTACAGCACCCTACCAAAAAACGATATACTTGGAGAAAAAATAGAACCACAAAACAGAGTCGTTTAGATTATTTTTTAGTATCCATTCAGACTATAATCAACAATTCCAACGTTGAACCTGGCTACATTCACTGGTTAAAATCTACTGCAATTTTACCCTGGTACAAAAAGGGCGCGGTTTCTGGAAGTTTAATAGTTCCTTACTTAAAGATCCCGAGTATGTAAGACTGGCTAAAACCTGTATTAAAGAAACTGTTAACATGTATGCAGAGCAAGACCAGAATACATAGCAGTGCCAGAGTGTCAAATTTAATACAGACGATCAATTATTTTTTGAAACATTAAAGTTTAGTATTAGGGGGGTGTCAATTAAATAGTCAAGTCGTAGGAAAAAAGATAAAAATGGACAAGAAAAAAAATAATATCAGAAATTGAGAGATTATAAGAGCTAATAAGCATCGAGCCTAACATTCAATTAATTGTCCAATTAGATGAAAAAAGGGTGGAGTGGGAGGTTATGAGAAAGGAACATTTAGATGCAATAATAATCCGATCACGTGCTAGGTGGGTGGAATACGGAGAAAAAAATTCAAAGTATTTTCTGTGCCTAGAAAAGAGAAATTATGTGAATAAAGTAATGACCACCCTTATTAAAAAGACAGTAGACGAGGAAATAACTATTACAGACCAAATAATAATACTAAACGAACAAGAACAATTTTACAGAAATTTATATAGTACTAAACAAAACATTAACAATGATGAAAATTGTGAACTAAGAGAACACTTTTTTAAGTTGGATACTAAATCACTTTCTGATGACGAATGTTCAATAGCATTGAGTAATCTGGAAAACGGAACATCGCCGGGTAGCGATGGTTTCACAGTTGATTTTTACAAATTCATTTGGCCAGACATAAAATATTTTGTTGTTCGCTCTCTTCAACACGCCTATATGGCAGATAAAATGTCAGTCACCCAGAGGCAAGAGATTATCACACTACTTCCGAAGCCAAACAGAGATAAGAGATTTTGGAGACCGATTTCTCTGTTGAATATTGATTATAAAATTGCGACGTCGTGCATTTCAAGGCGATTAAAGAAGGTTCTCCCCCAAATTATCAGTGAATCCCAAATAGGGTATATAAACAATAGATATATAGGTGAAAATACTCGTCTCCTGTATGATATAATGCATTATGCTAAACAATATAATATCCCTGGGTTTTTATTGTTAGTCGACTTTTAAAAAGCATTTGATTCGTTGGAATGGGCTTTTACATAAATTTGGCTTTGGAGAAAATATAAGAAATTGGGTACGCATATTTTATAAAGATATAAATAGCTATATTATTAGCAATGGCCATGTCTCTAATAAAATTGATTTACAAAGAGGTGTTAGACAAGGAGATCCATTGTCCCCATATCTGCTCATTATTTGTGTTGAATTATTAGCTCACGCTATAAAATCAAATCCACAAATCAGGGGTGTAGTAATTTCAGGCTCACAATTTTTACTCGGGCAATATGCCGACGATACATTCATCATCATCGATGGGACGAAAAAATCGTTAAAAGCAGTCTTTAAAGTACTTGATGACTTTAAAGTGCTATCAGGCCTTCAAACAAATGATGAAAAAACACACGCGATTTGGTTTGGATCTAAACGAAACGGAAAAGAAAGAATTAATACAAATCGTAACTTATTGTGGACTGAAGGCGATTTTAAAATTCTAGGTATCACATTAAACCCGAGCTTAACCAATCTTATTGAAATAAACTTTCGAGATAAAATTAAGGAAAGTAAACGGCTGGTGAACATTTGGAAACAAAGAAACCTGACGATAATTGGAAAAATAACTGTCATCAAAAGCCTAATATTGCCAAAATTTAATCATTTATTCTCAACCCTGCCTTCACCTTCACAACAAATAATAAAAGAATTAGAAAAATTGTTATATAATTTTGTATGGAATGGAAAGGGGGATAGGGTTAGTAGAAAAATTCTGGTAAATAATATATATTCTGGAGGAGTGAAAATGCCACACATAACGAGCGTAGTCAGAAGATGTCATGGATAAAAAGGTCTCTCTCAACCCAAAGCTCCAGTCCATGGAAACAAATGTTTAACATAATGTTTGCTTTCTTTGGGATAAAATTTGTTTGGAATTATAAGAGCAATGGGCTACGTACAATATGCGATCAGGTTAGTAATGAATTTTGGCGGGAAATAACGAACATATGGAGCAGGGTGACAGATAGTACTAGACAAATTCAGGCAGCAGAGGACTGTCTGGGTCAAACATTGTGGTTTAACTGGGAAATTCAAAAAGGTAACAAAACTATATTTATTTCAAAGTGGCACAACGAAGGAATAAACTACGTTAATGATTTAGTTAAGCCAGATGGAACAGCTATGTCATACGGAGAGTTCCAACAACAATATAACTTGAAAAGTGATTTTATGACATGGAAGAAATGGAAAACGGAAATAGAAAAAGAAGGAAAAAATGATGAACTTGTTAGAAATCCATATTTAGACAAGTTTATTTTCACTGGAAAACCTTCAAAAAACGTCTATAACCATCTAGTGAATGAAATTAAAATCATGTATAAATGGGAATCAATTTTAGGCGAGCCAGATAATGAATGGCACTTAATATTTGCTAGACCGTTCAAAATAACCAAAGAAACCAAATTGCAAGCCTTTCAATATAAAATCATTCATAGGTTTTTAGCTACAAACTATAGTTTAATTAAAATGGGAAAAACAGAAACGGCTCTGTGCACATTCTGCCAGTCGAGTCTGGAAACAATAGAACATTTATTTTATGAATGCGATTGCATTAGAGTTTTTTGGTAACTTTTTGTTAAATGGATTAAAGACCAAACTGACTATATAGATATTCACCATTTCACATTAAAAGATATATTATTAGGTAACGATAAACACTCGGCACTGATAGGTAATTTGATCTTGCTCTGTAAACTTCACATTTATCACTCTGAACTTAAAAATATCAAACTACAATTTTGTTCAATGACATCGCCATTTCTAATCTGGAAAGCCACAACAAATTCAGACAAAAGTGGGACAATGTCAGATTCACTTGACATGTATTTTTAAGGTATATTGAATTATTGAAATAAACTATAAAGTAGTAATATTGTGCAGATTGGAAACTGGATCTCACACAGGATGACGAAATGAATTACTATATAGTTCATTAATGCATTTTATTTTACTAGTTCTATTTAAGGGGTTGATATACATGAAGAAAAGGGAAACTGTTTTAAAACAATTCAATATAAGAGTAAAAGTGACATTTTCCAATGATGTTATACATTTTCTGAAAGCTTTAAATGTGTCAAACTCAAATTTTGCTCCCGAAAATTTCAAAACAAAATTTATGTAATTTTTGGCGAATTTTGGGCAAAAGTTAGGTGAGTTATTCTCGAAAATTAAATACATCTAGTTGTTGATTTAAACTTCGAACGAAATATTGAGCTATTAGCAAGAAAATATATTCCAGGAATTTATTTGGTATTACCCATTCTCGCAATTTCAGAAATTGACATTTCAAACCCTCGGATTGCACTTGATTTTCATCAGCAAGGGAGTGGCAGTATTTTGTTTTCTATTGTAATTATAATATTTAAGGCATATTTACTTCAGGATAAATTCAAATTAAAAACATGCCCCGTTAAGTAATTTCGTTTTTTTTTACTTAAATGCTCGT